AAGACCTAGGCTCCTAATATCACATCTTCCCATTCAAGCCAAATCCTAACACACAAAAACCAACGTAAATACAACTACAAATACCCATGGACTAAGGGCAAACCCTCCTTCTCTATTTCAGCATGCTGACACTCAGTTTTGGTTTGCGCCTATAATGCACAAGCCACTGGCCTCCAGTTTTGACCATATTGCTGTAAAAGGATTGCACCAATACCCTTGTTGGAAGCATCTGTGGGCAATTTCATTCTGCATTTACTGTCATAGTACCTGAGATCAGGGTCTTTTATAATTAAATCCTTCAGTTTCTCCAACTCTTCATTAAGACTTGCATCCCATATCCACTGGACATCTTTGCACAGTAGAGCTCTCAGGTTGCTGGTTCAGGAAGTAAGATTAGTAACCTATATAGGGAAATTTGTGCCTATTGCAAAGGAATCTTTGTACCTCTTCCTTGTCTGTTGGGGTGGACATGTTGGTGATAGCCTCAACCTTACAGTGCTCTATCTAAATACCCTTATGCATTAACTTCTTTCCCAGATACGTTATTTCCATTACACAGAACTTACGTTTGTTTGTTTGGCTTTGTTCAGCAGCTCTGGCTCTTTCCAATACTGCTCGGAGCCTCTGGTAATGCTTTTCTACTGTTTCTCCAGATCAAAACTGTCATCTATGTAAACCTTAGTATCTCTCTGCCATCAAGAATTTGTTGTATTTTCCTGTGACACTCCTCAGGTGAAGAATACAACCCAAATGACAGTTTACGGAAACAGTCTCTTCTAAAGATGGCGTTGAATGCGCATATGCATGTGCTCTGTTTCATTAAGGGCACTGCTAGAACACTGTTAATGCATCAAATATAGAAAAGTACTTATCAGCCACCTCTCCCAGAATTTCTCCTCTTGCAAGTAATGGAAAATGTTCCCCTTTTACATATTTATTGACCCCACAGAACTCAATACCTAAGTGAAGGTTCCATTTTCCTTTTCTATAGTGACCAACAAGTGTACCCACTTTGTTAGTTCTTCTACTCACTGTGACTCCAGAGTAGTGAGACTATGCAGCTACTCTTTTTGCCTCTGCTTCAGTGCGAGGGGAACATTTCTGGGATCATGAATTGTTGAACGGCTGGGCTCTTTTAGCTCTATTCTGTTGACAGCTTCCCTACTCCCTGGAAGATTCTTTAAACTCTTCCTCAATTGTTTTGTTCACCAGGCCCTCCAAATGAAGAGCTTGACACATTTTTAACCAAACAGGTACTCTTTTCCCTGCTACTATTATAAATTGTATAGTTTCCAATTTATCTATCCATACATTTAGTTCACATCCTCCCTTAGTGGGGATAAGCTCTCCCCAAGTTTTATCCATTTAACCTTCTACTGGCTTTTCTTTTACTGCCAGTTTCAGTTTCTGGCACCACACTGGCTTGTGTACCTATGTCCAATTTAAAAATCAATAAACACGCCATTTGCTTTCAGGTTGATAATCCATTCATCCTGTGCTGCAAATATTGTCCACTGCTCCTATGAAGAATTCATCTGAGCTAGTTGTGCTGCCATCATCCTCTTTGTCCATGCTGTGCACACACTGTTGGAGTTCAAACGGCAGTTCTTGCTTTTTAAAAACAAACAACAACAAAATTCTGATCCAGTTGTATGAACTTTGAAACTTTAGAGCAGATTGCTCGTGGCATGGATGAGAAGGGTCACGCAGCAGTGCCGTGCTAAGCTCAAGGAGCAGAGGCAGGCGTACCAGAAGGCAAGGGAGGCCAACCATCACTTGGTACAGCACCAAAAACACACCACTTCTACAAGGAGCAGCACACCATCCTTGGCGATGACCCCACCTCCACTGCCAAGAGCCCCGTGAATACTCTGGGGGGACTGGAGGCAGCGGCCAGTGGAGGCAAGCCCAAGGACCAAATGGAGGACAAGGCACTTGAGTTGGAGGAGGATGTGGAACAGGCAACAGGCTCATCCAGTGACATGGTGAGCCAGGACCTCTTTTTGACTCTGGAGAGGTCTAGCCAGTCCCAGCAGTCCAGGTCTGGCGTGCCTGAAGCAGGAGAGGGAAGCTCTGGTAAATACTCATTTTGCTTTGATACTGCACAGTTACATGAGGTAGAGGTGTCCTTTATTTTGTTACATGGTGCATGTAGGAAAAGAGATTGAAATGAATACTACTGGGTACTGTTTGCATCTGCTTCTCATTCCCCTGTGCAGCCATGCAGTGGGAGCCCTGCAGAAAAGTTTGTTAATGCACACCGAAATCTCCCAGGAATCCTTCACTGAGATCTCTCAACTTTCTTGAGGAAACATTCTTGCTGATATGCTGCAATCTGCTGCCAAAGGTTCCTTGGCAGAGCAGCTTTGTTTCTTCTCCTGTTGTAGGAAACTTTGCTGCGCAAATTGGCAATTACTTCTGCAGGAACCAAAGCAGCACAAAGGCAAGCAGCATGTGGACCCAGGCTGAAGCCGCACGCATGCAGGAGATGTACCCTTACATCTTCGGTTACTCTCAGTAGTGTGATTTCAGCTTCAAGCACCCCATGTGGAAAACGGTGCTAGTATTTAGAATAGCGTCCCTTTGCACTTGTACTGATCCCCGTCTGAAACCATCCAGACCCTTTCTCCCATATTGCATCTTCTCCCTACTCCCCAGCCAAACTCACCGTGTTTAGTGCTCTGGCCATGCTGCATGCTTGCCAAAGGAAAATAAGAAAAAGATGTATGTAACTTTTATGATTCAAGACCATGAGTGCACACACAATACTGACTCTGTGTGTTGCTTCTGCAGACGTGTCCTTGAGGGCCTGCTCCTACACACCAGCAGAGTGCTTCCGTCAGATAAGGAGGTGAATGAGGAGCAGGGAGGACAGGTTTTGTAAAGTGCTGCAATCGGATCAGGCCATGAATGTGGAGAGAGACAAATGAAAAACTAGAAATGGACAGCCAGGAGAGGAGACAGGGTTAGGAGCACATAATAGAGGGTCAGGAGCAGATGATAAAGCTCGAGGACCAATCAGAAATCCTCTGGTCCCAGATTACACTGCAGTCGGAACTCATGCATGCTCCACTCCCTGCAGCCCATACAGAACTGCTTTCCACTCCCTCCCCAAACATTCCTTGAATTCTCCCGGCCCTTCCCAGTACCCCTTGCACTCCACCACCAGAGACATTTTCCATAAGGACAGCTGGACTTACACATAGCTGAGAGATCCTCACTTCAACGAGTGCTGCTTACTGTCATGCCCCTTGTAAGAGAAGTTAATTTGTGTATTGCTGTTTAATAAAAATTTAGTCTTACAAAGACAGTGATTCTTTATTTGTGACCTACACACATTGGTTGCAACACAAATTCATAGCGATCAGCACATTTGCAGTCTACAATTAATGCTCAGGCAGGACTCATTACAGGGGTCATTCAAGGTGGCAAGTAAACAATGCCTGGCTGAATGCATTACAGAAAGACATTACTGGGGCTCATTTTCAAAATGCTGCTTCAAAGTCTCCCTGATTCAAATAGACCCCCTGTTGAGCCCCTCTAATAGCCCTCGTGTCTGGCTGTTCGAAATCCGCCTCAATGCTCCACCCCTGGGGAAACTTTCCCCCCTTGACTTCACAAATATTATGCAGAGCACACAGGCTGCCATGACCACGGGAATATTTTCCTCATTGAGGTCAAACCTGCCATAAAGCCAGTGCCAGTGCCCCTTTAATCTGCCAATGGCACATTCTACCGTCATTCTGTACCTGCTGAGCCTGTTGTTGAAGCACTCCTTGCTGCTGTCAAGGTTTACGGTCTATGGCTTCATGAGCCATGGGAGTAAGAGGTAGATTGGGTCTCCCAGGATCACTATGGGAATCTACATCCCCTATTGGAATCTTCTGATCTCAAATGAAAGTCCCTGCTTGCCACATTCTATACACACCAGTGTTCCTGAAGATGCATGTGTCATGCACCTTCGCGCTCCGCGTTGATGTCAGTGAAACAACCCCAGTGATCTACCAGTGCCTGCAATATGGTAGAAAAGTAGCCCTTCTGTTGATGTACTCCATTGCAAGATGGTATGGGGCCAAAATGGGGATATGCGTGCAATTTATCACCCCACCGCAGTTAGGGAATCCCATTGCCGCAAAGCCATCCACTATTTTCCACACATTGCCCAGCATCACAGTCCTTCATAGCAGACGTGATTCATGTCCCTACACACTTGTATCACCACAATCCCCAATCCCAAACTGATTTGCAATTGGCTGGAAGCAGTAGCTGGAGTTGCCAGCTTCCACACAGCAATTGCCACTCACTTTTCCACCATTAGGGCAGCTCTCATTTTGGTATCCTTGTACTGCAGGGCAGGGGCAAGCTCCACACACAGTTCAAGGAAGATGGCTTTGTGCAAACGAAAGTTCTGCAGCCACCGCTTGTCATCCCAGACCCTGCATCACAATCTGACCCTACCACTCAGTGCTTGTTTCCCAAGCCCAATAGTGATGATCCACCATGTGCAGCTGCTCCGTGAGTGCCAACATCAATCTTGAATTGTTTCTTTCCACAGCACGGCAGGCAGCATGGATTCCTGTTCAGATTCACAGCTCATGAAATACTGCAGGATCGGCCGCATTGTGTTTGTAATGCTCATCACAAGGTTGGTGAGCAATGCAGGATGTCAGGCAGAAATGTCGGGTGGAAAGCATACAGGGGTATTTGAAAAACAGTGTAAAACGTAGTTGGAAGCCCTTGGAATTATGGGATGGAGAAAACTGCATCGTGATGCAGTGATCCCACCCCATGATGCACTACGATCCATTGCCAGAACTTCTAGCAGGAGAAAGTGGCAATCTGCATCATGGTATAGCTACCCATGGTGCACTACTCTCTCTGTTGGTGTTGGAGCACAGACTAGGGACATGCTCCAGGGACACAAGGAGCATTGTGTGAATATGCACAAGCGATGTAATTACAGTGGTTTATGATCGTTGACATAAATCTGTAGCATAGACATGGCCAAAGACTTCCTCAATAGTATGCAAGAGAAGAAAACAAACCTGCAACCAAGCAAAGCCAAATTAAAACTATATGATGACATGATCACGATACCATTAAGAAAATGTAAATTACAATCAGAATACTAAGGAAAAGTTCAAAATTTCAGGTAGCATAAACACCGCAGAAGCCATCTAAAACAATTAATGACCTAGTCACACTAAACCTGGGACAAACAATTATACAATAAACATACAAACAAAACATAAAACGCCCAGAGCAGAGAGCTCAGAGGCATCCCTGAAGCAAAGCTGCTAAAATATTACCAAGATGTTTTGAAGGACGAGGATGACTTCCAGGGATGTTACAGCTGGAAATACATAAAACAATTCAGCCAGTACACCGCTTGCCTTACAGAGTACAAATTGCATTAGAAGAAATAGTGGGAGCAATAAAGCAAAACGGAAAATGAAGGCATCATTGCTAAAATCAGCGACACCACAAATTGGATAAGCAGCACTGTAGCCATTGAGAAACCAGAACAAGCTGCACATTTGCATAGACCCAAGCAACTTAAAAGCACTTAAAAGATTTGCTCACTATCCAATGCCTGCAGCTGAGAAATACTACCTTCTGTGACCAGTGATCCCCTCAGTGCCAACTGGCAAGGGGGTTTACAGGAATGCCCTTATCCTAGTATCCATTTTGGTTCACCAAAGAATGGCATGTGAGATCTTAAATGAAAGCCAGGATCACGCTTGTCATTGATATAATTGACCACATTTTGGACATCACCAGGTAGATACAGATGGTTGAGAAAGGCCGTTGGGGATCCAACCTGCAGTAAAAGAATAATCAAGCAATACAACAGATGCCTACACCTAAAGATGTTAAATCAGTTCAGAGACTATTAGGATTTGTAAACTATTTGGGAACATTTCTCCCAAGGCTCTCCGATCAACGCGAACGCTGAAGGTGATTACTGAACAAACATACCACATGGACACTGGTTACCTCAACATGATGCACCCATCTTACATATCAAAAAGCTGGTAACCAGCTATTCCATCCTGAAATATGATGTAAACGAAGGGGCAACCATATAATGTAATTGTCAATGAGATGGGACTTGGAGCATCGCTCCTACAAAAGGGACTGCTGGCAGCTTTCCCACTAAAATCACTATCACCAATGAGACAGATATGTCCAAACTGAACAGGAATGTTTTGCAATAGTGTTCTTGTGAAAAATTCCAAGAGTACATTCAAGGTGGAAGAAATCATAAACCACAGAAAACATTTTGTAAAAATCACTACTAGCAGCCCCAAAATACTTTCAGCACATGCTTCTGAAACTGCAACATAACTTAAATGTACACTACAAGAAAAGGACTGAGATGTACATAGCTGACTTATTATTCAGAGCAGCCTTGAAACATGAAAATATAGCAACTGAACAAAAATATGAGAGCCTCAACCTGGTAGAAATACAAACACAGGAAGACATAAAAAGCAGGAGCCAAGTCAATTATATTCCAGTTTCAAAGCAGAGGATGTCCATCACTTTGTCAGGCTGGCCAAACACCAGTGGAGAAGCCCCACTTGCCTTCCAAGAATATTGGAACTATTCAGATGAGCTGAGTATTCATGATAGCATCAATATATACAGGCAAGTTGAATCACAATACCTAGATCACTGAGAACAGAAATACTCTCAAGAATACATAAGAGCAATTATGGAATGGAAGCATGCCTCCAGAAAGCCAGAGATGCCATATACTGGCCAGGGATATCTGAGACCTGGTGAGCAGATGATGCTGAGAAAATTGCTAATTCTGTCCAGAAGAATGCTGCCAGTACAAAGTCTGAGGCAGACAAGACTTTCTCTGATGCGACAGAGCTAGACAAAGAAGTGGATGACATGCTGAAACAGCTGCAAGATGCAGAGAAGGAGCTGAAGAGGAAGCAGGAGGATGCTGATCAGGATATGATGATGGCAGGCATGGCTTCACAGGCTGCCCAAGAGGCAGAAGACAATGCGAGAAAAGCTAAGAACTCTGTTAACAGCTTGCTCACCATCATTAATGACCTTCTGGGACAGTTAGGGCAACTGGACCCAGTGGACTTGAACAAACTGAATGAGATCGAGGGTACCTTGAACACAGCCAAAGATCAGATGAAAGATAGTGACCTGGACCGGAAAGTGAGCAGTTGTGATGCATGTTGGGAAATGCAGGCCAAGCAGCAAGAAGAGACAATGAAAATGCACAGCATCTCCAACAGATCTTGCAGCAAAGTAGAAATGGTTCTTTCTGCAGAAAACCACACAAAACTACTTCATTATTGCAGACCATTATTCATACTTCTAGGAACTAAATGAACTGTCAGACGCTACCACAGTGACCATCATAGACAAAGCAATGAAGCATTTCAGCCAAAAGAGCTGCCCTTGTATCTACAAAAGTGCCCCTTACTCTCAAGCAAAGCCCTGGAACACAATTCTTTGGGCTTGGCAGCACTAGCTCCTCTTCCAAGCTCAGAGGTGCACTTCTCCTTAAGGTGTTTCCTCAACTAAAGCTCACGAGCTTCATGTGTTTGCTGGAGAAAGGAGCGGCAAATGCTGCACTTTGCTGATCGTGTCCCACGCCCACCCAGACAGTCATGGATCATTGCTCATAGAGAAGGATCAAGGGCAAGAGAGACAATTCTTGAATGTCAGGGCTCTGGGACTCCCACATGGGGAAAAAACTAAGCTATACTATATAAAACTAACTATGCTAAATGTTAAAACTATTTACAGGCTGGTAAGAAAGAAACTGGACCTAGAGGATTCCAACTTGGACCATGTGGCAGCAAGAAGGAACTGGCGAGGTGTCAGCCTGGACCGTCTCTTATGCCCCTGATCTGGAGCATGAGGAGGGCAACAGCACATGGGAGGGGCCAGTGGACGTTGCTTGCTAAGCATCTCCAGACTCAGGCACCTGCATATCCACATGTGAAACACACACAGGGACCAACACTCAAAGAAGATTTATTATTTGTATTGCAGTAGCCCCGGGGGGGTCCCAAATCAAAATTGGGGCCCCACTGTGCTAGGCACTGTACAAACATACACCAGATATTCCCTGCCTCAAAGAGCTTACAATCTAAGATTTTTTCTCTCTAGTGAAATATGGTTTATCTTGCTACTTCAACCCACGCTCTGTGCAAACAAACATACCACAGAGTACATTCAGCTTATTAGCTTGCCTTTATAAGAACTCGCTGTACATCAGAGCTTCTGATTCTGTTGGAACCAATTGATTTCTTGAATGCTATAACCAAAAACAATCCCTAATGAACTCAGCAACAGTTGCAGGTCAAATTTACATATCTATTACTCTTTTTTGATGGTTTCTTCTTAATGGTTGTCCTAGAGCTACTGAATAGAAGAAAGGGAAGGCATAAAGTAGAGGGCAGTGGATCTGTGTAATACAGCAGTATGACAAACATGGAGCAAAATTACTTACTTGCAAGTGAATCACACACATCACCACACCAACTGGGGGAAAATCACTGTCAATCAAAAAAATCTGTCATGATTAGTATTCCCTGAGAAATATTTATAAAGTACTGAATGTAAAACAAATGTTTATTCCATTTCTGTTAATGTCATAAGAAAAGTTATTACTGTGACAGCCCTGATCTGGCTTGTTGAAATTCACCCAGAGGCATGAGGCACAGATTATCATGGATTAGTTACTGCAAGAAACAAAAATACCACCTCCCCCCAAAATCCAATCCTACTTAAAATTTACCGGGCCTTGAAGTGGCACATATTCCAGAGATGAAAAGTAATTGCAATGATCACTTGACTCTTACATGTCCAGTGTTCTTTTATGAAAACTGGTACTATACATATTATTTGAGCTTGAGTGTGGGGTGTTTTTTAGGGTCATATTATGAAGGGTTATAGCAAAAATCCAAACAAACCATTTCTTGCTCTTTTCTCTAAAGCAGTGACTTTCATTTGGAAATAATACTTTGCCCCCCCCCCCTTTTTTTTTAAATACAAGCCAAATATAACTAATGGATAGGCTAAGAAAAGATGTTTTAAACCAGTCTCCTGTATCCAATTACAAGTAGCTAGAGTTCAAACACCCACAAAAGAACAAACACTTGTGACATTATATAGATCACAGCATCTGGCTTTTGTTAAAAGGGACACTCTCAGGTACTTTTCATTACATGCAATAGTTTCAGGTGTCTAAGTAGGTAAAACATCTTTCCATACTTCTCCCCACCCCAAATTTTGTAAATATGGATTCATTGCCCCTGAGTCTTATTGAGTCCTAAACCAACACGACCCTCCTTATTTACCTTGCTTGTCTGTGTATTAACAGCAACGATGTCAGCACAATCCGTGCTGTTCTAATGCCGCTGCTGGCCATTTTGGATTAGTAATGGACATATTAATTTATTGGCAACAACACAGTGGGTTTAAAAAAATCTTCACTTCAATTTTGTGCCTATTCCTTGATAGTATTCCTTTAATATTCATGTACAGTGAAGTAAATTATTTTCAAAATTGAATTTGCTCAAGTACGATGAACCTGTAAAATGTGTAAGAATCAATATGGACTGCATTCATGTTATATTTATTTATTTTTCAGCTTCATACAAATCAGATGTAGAAGCATAAACATAGTACATTTCTACCATTTTCAACAAAAATATAACCAATATGTACAATTATTGTATTAAAAATACAAAAGGGATACAGACTCCACCAATGTCTTTCTAAAAGACATACAGGTACAAGTAGTATCAAAAGTATGAGGAAATCACCAGTTAATTGTACATTCTGCACTTGACATCACAGAGTGAACTGAGATTAGCAGTCCTATGGTCTACAATTACTTAATGCTTATATAATATTTGTGCAACTTGTGATAGAGCTAGGTTTCTGACTTTCTATATGCACATGAGGTCCATAGCCTATATAATAAAACTGGCAAATAATGCATATTACATGTAAAATTACAAATTCATAATTGACAATGTGATATATAAGCAAATAGACAAAAGCCATGATTACAGGAGAGAGAATAATTAAATAAAGCACTGACATTGTTTGATACAGTGAAAAAACACTGCAATTTGATCTTTAAAGTTGAAGCTATTTACGTTTATCTACTGATCAATATGATCAGCTGAGTTCAATGGAAAAAAATCCAAGACCAGCAGTTCCTCACATTTGAGTACTACTCAGATTGGCAGCCTTCACTTTTCCGGAGTCTGTGCAAAAACAACACAAAAATAGAGGGGAAGGATCATTTCAGTCATTATAGGGTTAATAGCAGCTGTGAGCAGGTGGTTGCTACACATTGGCCTTTTCTACACATGCAGTGTTCCAGAAAGCCATTAACAGTTGTGACTATTTCTGCATTGCAAAGGCTCGCATGTCTAAATGTGTTTTTTCATAATTTAAAGGCTTGTTTATTCCCTAATGCCAAGTCAATAGAGAGATTATTCGATCAGAAATAACAGCTGACATTAGCTGTGACATCTCAAATTGCCTTCACTGCAATGTTATCCAGTTAATTTTTCTCTTAAAATAACTAACCTTCTAACAATAGTAAGACAAAAATATAATTTAAAGGTGGGGTTTACCATCTGTCTCATTTGAATAGGACTTTTTTTTTTAAACTATGCCATCCTGTATTCCACAAGGCACAGGTATACAAATTGTATGGTACAAACTATACAAGTTGTCCTGTTTTCCTCCATTAGATAGTTGCAAGCACTTAGTTCTGCATTGATGCTAGACCCATTTCAAAATACTATCCTATGATTTACAAACTTTTTAAGACTCCAGGGTGGGGCACTTTAAGAGTGGAGCTAGGTGGTCAATGAAAGGCTGTATCCTAAAACCCTTCCTGCCTTCCATTCTGCCCTGCTCAGCCATATCAGTTTTGTTTTTAGGAGCCCAGGCTGGCAACCCTACTAAAAAGTATGAAATAATACTGTAATTATTATGCAGGTGTAACATTTGCTTTCTGAACACAACAACATACAGCACTGTAACAAATGCATTGTAAACAAGCAAACAAGCATTGTATACTTGAAGGATTTCAATGTGTTTTTCTCTTTGTACGTTAAAGGCTCAATGTCGTTTGACAACTAGCGTATCTCATTATCCCAATGAGATGAAGTGTTAGGATTGTGATTAAAATCTAAAAGGAAGATTTCAAAACCCTTCCAGGCATTGGGAAATGCAGCCAGAGTTAATCATCTTGATGTGATGATCTTGAAATTTGGAATGATACTGTGTGATGTGGCAGACAGCGACAGTGGTAGCTTGGAGATTGCTGCACTGTGCATTTCAAGCAACACAGTTTGAAAAGTGCCAGGGCGATTTCTTCACAGTATTTCACATGCAAGGAGAAAGGGGGGAGGAACGGGGGAGAAGAAGCCCCATGCTGCTTTAAGGCAGGGAAGGCGGCAAATAGGTCTACCATCCTTTAATTATAGTTCCAAGGCTCCTATACTAGGGACGTCTTCTTGTGCTCTCCTTTAAGGTGGCTCACTCTGGATCCAGAAAAGCCCCAATTCTTAGACGGCAGAGACTTGTTCATCTTCTGCAAACAATAGGATGGGGGGAAAATAAATTTTAATCAGTTTAAAACTAGATTGTTATTGAATGAAATAAATTTGCTGTGTTCACACATATTCCATTCCTCTGTAAAAATTAAGCATATATTTATTTGCTACAGGTAATTATTTTTCCCTCCCTTTTCCCTTAAAGTAAAATAATCTCAAAATCATAAATTCAGAGCATGCTTTGTTATTTTAAATGAAGCAAGCCAGTTTTAACTATAGAATCATCAAGAGTGTATTTCTTTAGAAGTGTATTTCCAAAGAAAATAAGACATAGAAGCACCGTATCTGGGTGGGCTTGGCTTTCCCTCTTCCTGGAAAACACAACATTCAACCAGAGACTACTAAATCTCTAATAGCTTAGTGAGGTATCTTGTGGTTGGCCCTAGTTGGAGTTGTCCACAAACCACTTCATTTTCAAATGCTTTTATTTAAATTAAAACTTCTGAGGCCGAAATGGCTTATAACAAGTGTTCACTGGTGGAAATGTCAAAACGTCTGTGGGCAAATTCATAAATCTCTGTGTCACATGAAAATTTGTAAAAAAAAAAAATTAATGAAGCTTGAAATATTTCCTTGGTATCCTCAGCTGCACAGGTCAACTGAATAAAGACTGCACAAAACTTCTAACAACATTTTTGAAATAAATTGGACTCTCTGGCATAAAACAGTAAAGTTAGAAACAAAAAGGTAAAAAAAAAAACCTAAAAAACAAATTTATAGGTGGAAAAACAATTACATTTAGAGCCAGAATTTCCAATGCGTGTGAAAGTGCTCATGGACTGTTTAAATCTAGCCCTTAATTAATGTTTTGAAAACATTAGAAATTTACCATCCTCCTCTGTGGAAAACCCTTGAGTCTGATAGTGAGATAGACGTGGGTCTGACTCGTTTGGTTTGTGCCACTGAGGTTTGTTCACAGGCCTGCTAGCTGAGTGACCTTGTGATTGCTGCTGCAAAGTTGAAGTCCCATGGGTCTCACATGTCCGTGCTACCATCCTAGACCTCTGAAGTGCTACGTTGTAATCCGGAGGTTTTCTAGTTGGCTGGGAAACTCCTTCAGCAAAGTCTGCAATAGGTATTCCTACATAACCAGGGGGAGTTGGAGGTGGTTCTCGATATCGACCTTCTTTTCGTGCTGCAGAAAAATAATACACTACCATAAGAGACAGTAACTTGTGAAAATATGTTCAAAACACAATTTCAGCAATGCGAAAGAAAGAAATATATCAACCAAATCGAGATCTGATCCAAATACAAAAAGGTTAAGATTTAAATATTATACAAGTATCAACATTATATCACCTTAAAAACAGAAATCATGTAAGAAACACTTTTGGTAAAAGACAGTATGTTCAGTATGACTGTGTTTCCATCATGCAGGCAATAGTTATACTTGGCTAAGCCTCTAACTTTTAGTACAGGACAAAATATCTTACTGTCCATTAAACTGTACATGCAGTAGAATTACGCAAATTAAGTGATGTCTCCACTAAAACCCTGAATCTGCAAGTCAATACAATTACCCATTGAAGTCAAGGGGACTGCTCATGAAATAAAGCACATAGGTCTCTGCAGGTCAGGACCTGATATCCTATACTCTGAAGCTTTAAAATACTGCCAGTCAAGAAAAAAAGGTAGCACTCACAAATTCAAACAACTCAAGTCCCATCATCTCATTTAAAAAATATGTAGACTCCCCAGATGAAAGAGCAATGGCAGATATTCAGTTGTGAACCAAAGTGCTTGAGTTCGGAAAAATTCCCTCTGCTTGTTCAGTTTTATGCTAGCTTCTTATTAACGTCTTTCAGGCTGCAGAAGTTGCTATATTGCCCCACAGGTGTTAGAAATGCAAATCAAATACTGCGACAAGTAGTTTAAAAACTGGGAAATTAAGAAATTGAAAAAAATTTCAGTGGTTAAAAAACCTATAGACATGAAAACTCTAGTCAGGGAGTTCAGAGAGTCTTAAAATCTCTTTAGAGTAACAGTTTTCGTTAGGTGCATATTAATTAAGATCTCAAGAAAATCCTTTCTAATCAGTCATGACACGGGACAAGAAAAATCAACAATGGGAAAAATCTACATTTCCCATTTAGGGTCTTCCACTGATTTTGTGTCATTTACTGAATTAATTCTATCCTTCAAATTCCTCCCCAAAACACACTTCTACCATTAAACTTTTAAAAAATGATGACTAATTATTGTTTGCAGTGTTGGTCCCAGGATACTATTGGTCAATTTCCTAATGTCTGTAGATAGTTTAACTCCTTCAGGAAAGGACAGGATCATATGTTTGTACAGGAGTGGTCAAATTGTCAACACAGAGGATAAACAAAATGCACGTATACTGAAAAAGAACTTTTAGTCCTCTGGCAGAGAAGACCAGCAGCAGAGTATGAACTACTACAGTATGGTGTTTTTGAGTCTACATTTAGAAAGACTTCACAAGGGCTCCAAGGTGGTCACTTTGACTCTTAATTATGATCTTTTAAATTACGGTGTTGACACTAAACATAGAAATATTAACAAACATGTAGCCAATGCATTCATCTAGTGTGACAAAACAGATCTGTTAAACCTTCATAAAAACTGTTACTTTCTTTCTTGTAGTTGAGAGGGTGCTGAATCTCATGGAAAAAGCTCCCTCAGAATTATATATGTGAAATTCACCATGTTAAATAAGGAATCTATTAACGTAACTTGTGCTGATGGGACCTAACGATATTATAAATAGGAAGAAAAATGGTCCTACCATAGGCACTAATCTCTAACATAAGGCCGACTGTATTGAACAACTGTGTTTGAACAGTGGCTCTTTTCCAAATGCAATCTAGGTGGAGGGAGTGTGGAAGAAATTTTAAAGAGGTTTTAAGGGTTTCTGAAACAGATTGGTATCTGAAAATCTCAAATATAACTTTCTCTCCACCAACATTAAACATTCACTACTCTCTCCTCTGGCTTCTGTTACCAATTTTCTGTGCTTATTCCTACCTTCAATTTCGTGTGTTTGTCTCTTCCCTTCCCCTCTTCTTTTTTTCCCCACTCTTGAAAATATAAATCATTTTGTTTTCTCTTAACCTCTTTCCTCGCTTGCCTGTTAGTGCCCAAAATCAACTCTGATGTGCTGCCACTAAACTAGCAGGTGGTTCCCACTTCACTCTACCCCCATTTGTATCCTTGTTATCTTTCGCTTTGACCCCACTCACTTCTTCCACCCCAGGATTATATCAGTGCTCCGGTTCCCAATCACAGCGCTTCATCAGTTGCATAGGACCAATATAGAGTTAAACTGATAGGACCATAGGAAGATTAATTATGCTGCTTCTGTGGGGAAGAGCTGTGCAAGGATAATAATAATGCAGAAGCAAGTCTCCACTGAATCTGAATTGGATGGAAATGAAATGACTGGAACTTTCAGGCTTCTCTTATATTTCTGAAATCTTTATAAACTAGATTTTTTTTAGAAACAGGCCTCCTAGTGGCATGGTGGGATGTTTGCTGCCTTGCTCAAGAGCAGAGCCTGGAAGCACATTTGTCAAGCCTGTCATTCCACATGCTAATGGAAACTACATGATGTGAATAGTATTAGAGATAGGCCTCAACCAAAACATCTGTTCTCCTTCATCCTTTGAGGAAATTCAGATCTGCAGATGAAACTTTGGGGGCTGGGCCCATTGCTAAGTAATATACTTGGTTTCTGAATGGAAAGGATGTTTACCATTATGCCCTAACTACATTGTCATGCTGGCAGACCAGATAGTTCTCATGCAGTGCCATATGTTCCTTCAGGATGAGGGTAGACTGAAATGGGGGAGAGGTTTGAGGGAATAAAATGGTTACAGAAACCAGTGGCCTCAGATTGTCCAAATCCATCTTGCACAGGTAAAGGGGGAAATATCTGGACAAAAATTCAACACAGCAAAAAATATTTTAAAAAGTAACCTCACTTCCTTTAGCAAAAGGTCTGTCCTAGTGTTTCAGGTCCTTGATTTTCTAGGCACCAAGGCAGACATCTTCAAACAAGGATATCTGAAGTTAGACATCTAAATCTGTATTTAGGCACTAAGAGTGACCCAATTTTCAGAGGTGATGAACATCCACAACTACCACTGAAGTCACAGGAACTTGTAGAGTAGAACACTGAGAGTCAGGTCATATTTAATGAGATCCCTGCATACAGACTTCGGTGCCTTACTTCAGTCACCCAAGCTTGAAAATTGTGACCTAAATACATTAGAATCTCAAAATACCAACCACCAACAGTTCAGTTGAATTCTTGATTTTATGGCACCTGGGAAGGAAGTACAAGAGGCCACATAACTCAGGAATGAGTATCTACATTACAAAGTGATGCTTTTCTCAGCAGCAAACACACAATTGAAGGGCAAAATTTGAGAGAAACTACAAATTGACTGCGCTTTTTGCTTTAAAAACAAATCAGATTAAAGCAAAATACTTATATAGTAAATTCACATCTATATGTAAATGAACAGGATACTTTGTGGTAAACAAAATATAACTTACCAATAAGCCCCTTTGCACTACTTGATGATATAGTTATATGAGAGGACATGGGAGCTGGCTTTGACTCCTCTGCTGTTACAGATGTTATGCTACTGGTTTCAGCTTCAATTGAAACATCCTTCCCACCCCGCCGCTTTATGGTACCTGTATCACCTTCTGAGTCCTCTCCCCAGTAGCCTGTTGAGGATGCCCAGCTTGCTCTGGACTGTGCTTGATCAAGGCCCTCCCTACCTTGACTCTGCCTGCCATATTTTGTGCCATGATCGGGGAACATCATCTGGTCCATATGACTGCCTGAGGCCCATAATCCTGCCCCATCGCCTGAACTATCGAAATGAACATGTCCAAAAGGAAGAGTCTCCCAGCTTCTCTGGTGTTGTATTGTCTGTATGTTGTCATGAGAACCACTTGAGCAAGAAGTCCAGCTGCCACGGCCACTGTCTGCAGCATCAAGTGAAGCGCGATCCCCCTGATCCTGTGATAGCTCTTCTGTACTGGGAGAAGAAAGCACAGTTGCTCCAGCATACAGGCCTCTGTTCTCTGACAGTGGTGCATATGAACTAGATGTAAAAGATAGAAAGAAAGGAAGAGAAATTTTACAATGGTATCATAAGTGATAATCAGCAAATCAGAACTGTGAAGCATTCATTGCTTTACAGACCAAGAGAATTTGATAGCTAATGAAAAACACAGTTGATACAAGTATCATCTATAGCATAGCTTTCCAATATCCAAAGTTTAATGTAATTGGTACTAACTAATGACTTGGTCAATTTTGAGTACAGGGCATTCTTTTTGTAAGGCTATCCTTGACAACAAAGCACTTCAGCAGTTACTAAAAAGGTACTGATGAAAATGTGACATACTTTGGGATTCAGTTGAAAGGTTCCCCCCATCTGTAAAATAAAGATAATACTGTACTTTAAACACGTTTTGTCACAACACTAGCCTGCCACAGGAGTGAGGATCACCTGTAGCATTTATAAATGCTCTAAAGGTGAAGAGCAGGTGCACATAGTTACTGGCACTGCTGTAGACATTAGAACAATGTGGGATATTTTCTCATCTGAATGTAAAGTATTAAAAAAACAGAGGTAATATAGAAGTGGTAACCTGGAAGGAGAGAGTGGAATTCTCTCACAGAAGGGAGGAAATTTCTACAACAGCTGCAGAAGAGAGTTTTTAAAAAAATGTAAATATATACAATTCTTACCCTAAGCTGTATTGATCTGGTTCAATCATGGCTCTTCTATCAATTCTACCCACACCAAGATTAGTCTCCACAATGCTGACAGAATGCCTCTGTCTCCTCTCATCATGCAGTGACACTGGCATGGAGTCAAATGAAGAATTGCTGACAATACTAGATCTGGAAGAAATTTCGCTGTGACCAGAATCTGAAAAGTTATCCACGGTGCCACTAGGAGCCAAAGTATAACCTGCATAAGGATCAGAATAACATTAAATAGACATTCTAAATTTACAATCAAAAGATTTCTTAAAGAAAAGTTCAAGCATTAGCATAGATATTCAATATCAATACTATTGGAGCAAATATAATTATCAAGAAGAGCAGTACTGTATGCAACAAAAATATGCAACAAGACCATCATTCAAATGTGGCTGTTTTATTTCTGAATGTAGGTTTAAAGGTAAGTGGCAACATGAAATATTTGTATTTAGAAAAGTCTGATCTCTTCTTTACAAAACTATTGCCAAATTTATCACTTCCTGGTGTTTTTGGCTCTCTAGAATTATATTAAAACATTTCCCTTTGTAGGACATAACACCCAGTCTTGCAGTATTGTTTATGTCTATGTATTGTGACAAAGTTCCTCCTCTATCTTGGTGGGTCCTGCGCTTACTTGCGGATTTTCTTGCCTCAGAGATTCACCATGTGGGTTGGGGAACAGCCCAGAGACCTTCCCCTTTGGAAGAACCCACAGTCCAGGTCAATTGGGAGGTTTGGGGGG